TGCTTCCATACTTTACACCTTTAACCCAATATACATGTTTGCACCAGTTTTGCCTCTTGTACAGAGTATAGGCCAATCACCATGTACAACACACCATACTTTTTTTTAGCTTTATTAGCAAGACCTACTGCATACTGCCTACTATTAAAATATCATCTTAAACTATAGTATATGCAGCATGCAATGAGAAACAGTTTTATATACAGCAATATGCTACAGTGTTTATCATGACCATTGTTGCATGTATAATTCAGCACTGTATTGCATTGTGGGATACAATGATCTAGTGCACATTTTTAGCAAACGTAGAACATAATTTGGTTATTTAAAAATAAATTTGCACACTGTGCATACTACATATTATTTCCTTTCAAAACAGTCAGTAGAATAGCATTCTGAACATTCCCATCGTGCGAGTGTGTTCCTATACTGTTGCTAAACTGTCTGTAGCAAACACTTAATCCTGTTCTGCCCATTGTTTCAAATCACCCAAGGGTCACCATGCATCATTGCTATCAAACGCATAAACAGCACACAGATACGCAAAAACACTTCACAAAAACCCTCCAGAAACCTCTTCACCTCATATAAGCTGTGGCTTGTAGGGCACACACTTCAATTTTCTCACTGTGGAGAAAGAGACAGCATCTTCACACTGGCAGGATTGCTGCCTGGACCTCCTATTGAGGAGAATGCATCATTCTGTCTCAGTGTTGGCACGACACACACTCAAACTGAGGGGTAAACAGAGACAATACATGCCCACAATAAATCTCTCGCTCTCTCTAAGCTGTACCGACACACATAATGAAAGATGGAGAGAAAATAACCACACTAATTTTTCTAACACTGTCCACCCCTATGATTGATGTCTTTAACCCACAAGAATACAGACAATGCAGTAAAACCTGATGATGGACTGTCAGGCAAGAGTAGGGAACAAAAGGTTATGTACTGGAAAAGAAATGTAGAAGAACAAAAAGCATGCTGATTTATTATAGATTTAGCCTTTAGTGCTGTAAGACTGCTGCTCAGTAATCTATATTTCTATGGTAACTGAGATGCAGATGTTCTGATGTGGAAAAGGTTGCTGTTGAAAATGCACAAACAAGACCAATACTAATTTACCATTTACTTTGTGTTTCTCAAAGTGGATGTTATATATTATATTATATTATATTATATTTTAATAGAAGCTTGAATGATAAAGATTATTATTTGATAATATTATAATATTTATTATTATGCATATATAATTTATTTATTTTTTAATTTTATAAAAATATAAAATCATAAACACTTTTTTTAACCCATCACTATGCAACAAATAATGGCGTGGCGGGGGCACTGGGTCTACACCAGATGTGAAAAAATACTATAGAACCCATTATAATCAGTGATGCTGTCTACATTGGAGGCGGCACGGCGTGAACACGACAAATCCCCACCAGTCAACTGCTGCCTCGTTCTATCTATGACGTACTGACACAAAATCCAAATGATTTGCAACGGTCGCTTTATCGCGTCCAGTGTAGACAGACTTTAGCTGTTGCGGCACGACCAACTGTCACATCCGGTGTAGACACAGTGTTAGTTTCTTCATCGGAATGGATTTGAAGAAATGTAGCATTACATCACTTGCTCACTAATGGATCCTCTGCAGTGAATGAGTGCTGTCAGAATGAAAGCATCTGATAAAAACATCACAATAATTCACAAGTAATCCACACCACATCAATTTGTGTCTTAGTGTTTGCAATAAACAAATCTATCAAGGTGTTTTAACTTTAAACTATTGCTTCCATAGTCCATAATCCACTTCCTCTAGTAAAAAAGTAAATCCCGTTGCCTCTCACATCAAAATTCACTGACATATTTGTTTAGAACTGTTTTGCTTGCACATTACTGTAGTGTTTTTTAGGGCTGTCAAAATGGCTGAAAAACTAAATTCGAATTTTGTACTTAAATATTATCCAAATTCGAATTATATTCAAATTTAAAATGCATAATTTCAGTTATGGTGAAGAAAAGCTTTTGGCTTCTCTCCTGAGTCCACAAGATGGCGCATCGAGCAAAATATTACTAATGCACGTTTATTCAAAGCATGACATGACTATCTGTGAAAACAGTGTATAATGTTTAAAATAATGTTTATAAAGCATTTAAAATGATGTTGCTTAAACAACTATAAACAAAACAGCACCATGTATGCATTCATAGTTTAATACAAAAGGTCGAAAGCCAATCACAGAGTATATTTTAATTTAAAAACACGAGTTGAAGTGGGATGGGGGAAAAAACCCTGCCATAAAGTCTCGAAATATGTTTTTTCAAAGTTGAACTTGCATTAATTTTATATGGCTTTCTAAACATGTAGCTCTTTTGTGCGCGACGCGAGTGCGACTGTGATAGATGTCCCTCTAGAAAATGCGCAAAATATGCGTTCTGTGTGAACGGCTTGGTTTCGGTTTTGACGTAAAAAAGATCTTCTCCGCATTGATGTTCTCTTTTCCGGCAAAATTTGTAATTAACAACGCAGCAGCACCGCATCCAGTGGCTTCAACTGGATAGGTTAACAAAAACATTATATTGCAACGACACTTACATCGTCACCGCATTTCGTGTGCCACTGATAAGGCTGCCTCCTTAACGCACACCTAAAATTCGAAAATGCAACGTTTTTGCATTCGAATGTGGATTTTTATTTTAAATTCGACGAATATTCGAAATTCAAAAAAAATTTTGACAGCCCTAGTGTTTTTATCACCTGTTTGGACTCTCATTCTGACGCCACCCATTCACTCCAAAGAATCCATTAGTGAGCAAGTGATGTAATGCTAAATTTCTCCAAATCTGTTCTAAATCTGAAGAAATAAACTCATCAACATCTTAGATGGCCTGAGGGCGAGTACATTTTCCCTATTCCTTTAAGACTAGGAATGTGTATTAAGCAAATAAATAGCATTGGTTCTGATTTAATGTTCTAGGCAAGTCAAGTCACCTTTATTTATATAGCGCTTTATACAATACAGATTGTGTAAAAGCAGCTTTACAGTGTTAAACAGGAAAAACGTGTGCTGATAATACAAGAGGAAAATAGAAAGCAATCAGTTTATCAGTTAAAGTTCACTGATTCAGATTTCTGAAATGCACATTTACTTTTACAAAACAACATATTCACACTGCCACAGTATTCCTCCTCCTGTGCCAAATTTCGGAAGTTATTGAGCATTTGATAACTGCCTCAAAGCACTTGGCTGTAAATGTGAAATAAAAAGCAGTGATTTTTGTGTTGGTTTCACACTACACTGCTTTTTGTTGGAAAAATGCTTGTTGGGAAAGCTACACTAATTTGAAAACAGCTGAGCTAATGCCACACTACTAAAAATGTAGTTAAGTTAGTAAAATTGCTACTTTTAGTTAGTTACCCCAATGCTGGTGAAGACACATGCATGGTAGGCACAAACAGATCATGCTGATTAGTGAAAACTAATGTGTTGAGTGGCCGTGGCTGCAAATAACAAAACAAAAAATACAACACCTCAGCTAATTAAGAAGTCATTAGATGCATTAGTGCAATGCACCAAAAAACAAACAACAAGAGAGAGAGAGGCAGAAACACGGCCCAGAATGCAGCAGTCATCATAGTGCCATCCTCTGAGACGTGCAGATGGAAATCTGTTTCGCTCCCAGGGTATTACCAATATTTACACAGCGAGGAAACCAGTGCTCATCACTGAAACTCAACATGATTTCTATTTCACGATTTCTGAGCGCAAATGGAGCCTGTTCACATGTACTTGTTTAAAAACTAGGCCTTATTCCAGTGGAAAAATAAACAAAGTAAAATCTACAAGTATATAAATGCATAAAATATGAGACCGTTAGATAGAAGCTGTGAACAGGGACGGTAAGAGGCTCTCTTGCGTCTTTTGCAGCACCTCATGCATGGCAGGCCATTGTAAAAACGTGGCGCTCAGTTTAAAAGAAGTTCAACTTTAAAAAAAAATGATTCTCAACCTTAGGTCCCCGCCCCCCCCCATTCCACTGGCCACATCTTGAATTTTTCAAAGCAAATATACATTCTTTGTGAATGGCCCCTAAGACTGCACACTCATTTTTATGGCTTCTTTGCTGTTAGGAAACTGGTTTCTCTGAAATCTCATTAATTCATGTCTAGTGTGTTCATACACTCAAGAACTAATGATATTTGTGTGTTTTTTTCTTCTTCTTCTTTCTACTACTCCGGAGATGCTGTTAAATATGCTGCTTTTCTTCCTTTATGCAAACAAGATTCATAGATTCAAGATTATTAATTTATTTTTCAAGAAATATTTGCATACATTTTCTCTATGAATGCATTACATGTTAAGCTTCCTAATGTGTACTTAAAAAGAAAATGCTGCATTACCAGTCAAAGGTTTAGACATTTATGTTTCTCATACTGTATATATATGTATATATATATATATATATATATATATATATATATATATATATATATATATATATATATATATATAGAAATCTAATGCTTTATGCATAAATGCTTTACATTTGTTTGATGGTCTGAATTAATTGTGCATACAATCATTTTATTTACAGAACTACAGTTTTATATGTATTTGTATTTTTTATTTTAATATATTTTAATTATTTGATTTATTTTAATTTACTTAATTTATTTTTTATATATATATTTTTTGCCATCAAAAATAAAAACACATTTTTAGTTACTATATAATTCCTATACTTCCATTTGTGATGGAAATATGGGATACTAATGGAAAAAATGATAATGGAATAATGGAACAAATTGAAGTATGGGAATTATAATTCCCATACTTCCATTTCCATACTTCCCATACTTCCATTTGTGTTTTGCTAACTTCACTACTGATCTAACATATGGAAAACAAAATAATGAGAAGGTGTATTCAAACTTTTGACTGCTTTGAGTTTACATGAGCTGATAGTTATACAGTTATAGAGTGGCTCACTTTTGGAGAACCTGGGTGGGTTGTCGTTGACGTCACTCAGGGTGATGTTGATGGTGGTGGTCCCTGCCAGACCCCCTAACTGTCCGCCCATGTCTTTGGCCTGGATGAGGACCTGATACAGTTCCTTCACCTCCCGGTCCATGTTGGGTAGAGCTGTCCTGATGACTCCTGCACACAGAACGAAAGAAAGTCAGACTGCCTTAATGGGAAGAAGAGACCAGAGAAAAGGAAGATAAAGGGATAGTGAGGTAAACAGAGAGTATAGATAAAGAGGCTGTGAATACAGGCAGGTATCAGTGTGTGGAGAGAATCGGATTACAGATTGCCCAATGAAATACCTGGCTGATGAGATGTTACCTACATTTCTTTAACACTTTTATCATGATGGTTGTGTGTCCCAGCAGGTTTTAGTCTGCGTAACACAGTGTGCTACTACACGGAACGGGTCAAGGTTAGCATGGCCCTGTTAGCCTCTGATACCACAGCCATTTGATACTAAAAAAAAGCCTATTTCTCTATTATTAAATGACATTTTGCTGTACTTGACTATTCTCAACCTTTTCGCTGACTATTAATATTAAAGGAATAGTCAGGGTTCACTGCAAGTGAAGCAGCTTCTGGAATATAATGTTAATAACCACAAAAAAATAATTGAAGTGGTTAGGTTTACAGTGAGGAACTTGCATTGAAAGTGGCCATTTTTTGTATTATATAAAAGCATAAATCTTACAAAAGCCTATCTATCTATCTATCTATCTATCTATCTATCTATCTATCTATCTATCTATCTATCTATCTATCTATCTATCTATCTATCTATCTATCTATCTATCTATCTATGCATGCACCAAATTCTTGCACCTTTGTAATCTTTCATTAAAAACCAATATCTCACTCTACATTTTTTTTCTCATTCTAAAAGCCATTTTATAGACTAATTTAAAGTCAGCATGAAATGGAAATTGTGATGGTCTTTTCTTCTCTATTGTGGCATGTTTCTGAGTAAAACAGCTTTTAGAAAGATAAAAAAAAATGTAAAATGAGACTTTGATGTTTTTAAAGAAAGATTACAAAGGTGCATGAATTTGAATAAAAAGAAATGATGTGCACAGATAATATCACTGTGATATACTTAAATGGAATATAGATAATATACTTTTAAGGAATATTGCATATTATAAAACGGCAATATACCATGCAAAAATAATTGTCAGTTTTGATTTAATTGGACAGATTAGTCTCATTCACTTTCATTGCAGGTACCTCACATTTAAGCTTGTTTATATATATACAGTATATATATATATACAGTATATAACTTTTGTGGTAATCAACACTGTGCCACAAAATTCAGCTTAACTTGTATTGAACCTGGAATATTATTTTAAACAGATAGGAATGGGAAGTCGATTGGGGAATTTGGCATTTTGACATATTGTCATTCACAATGCAAGTTCCTGAATATTGAGTGGGCATTTATGTAAATATATGTATGTAATGTAATGTAATTTCCGAATGTACTATTTTTGCAGCTTAGTTTGCATAAATGCTTTCACTGGAAGCGTTACAGTATGTCTGCACTGGAAAAAAATAAAATAAAAAATTATATATATATATACTTTTTATTTGTTAACAGCTGATTCCTAAACAGTTATATATATATATATATATATATATATATATATATATATACATGGCTTTATTATTATTTGGAAAAGTCCCAGACATTATAATGTATCCCATTTAGAGCACATTACTGTTTAGGAATCAGCTGTTAACGAATAAAAAGTGACACTCTCCAGTTTTTTTTTTGGAAATATCAGCACAAAGATTTCTCATAAAGTACTATAGAACTTAAAAATGTTCTTGTAGGGCATCAAACTGTAAAAACCTTCTGGAACCACTGATGTACAGCTCTACATTCAAGTGTTTTTCTCCAGCTAAAAGATTGAGGTCATTCCTAAATCTTCTGGTACTTGACGGCCTTAACAAGGCGACAAAGCCAGTGTAGCAACACCTTTCCTCACTATCCTTCCATAAAACACAACTAATGCGTTTCCCAACACCACAAGAAGCTTTCTCAGATCAAGAGAGTGCTTCGTAGAATGAATTAGACATGGTGGTGGATGGTTAAAAAGGGCACGGACCTTCATACAATGGCAGTTTCAGATGAAACGTAAGAGGGATGTCACATGTGATTCTCTCTGCCTGTTACAGGATGGATCTGTTTTTGACTTTCGTTTCGTGTGAACAGATCTCTCTTTGAAGTGTAGTGTGGTAAATTAATAGTTCACCTAAAAATTACATTTCGTTATCATTTACTGCATCACCATTAATATTTTCTGCATTGGAAGCAGAAATTCTTCCTAAGATCTTCATTTTTTTTTATTTCACAGAGAGAAGAAGAAATAAATAATACAGGATTGGAATCAACTTGGAGTGATTAAATGGTGGTAAACTTTCATATTAGGATGAACTATTCCTTCAAGGTCTGTTTTCTCTCACGACTTTCAGTGCTGATTCCGTTATGCATTGTACCCCCTGCCTTTGTTTCCTACCCTCCTCTCACGGCTTTTGTTTACTGTCAGTTTGTGTTGGCAAATTTTTTGATATGGCCTAAGACAAAAACAGATTTTTCTTCCTTACTAGTCATTTTATTTGTTCGGCTACAGAATTTCATCCTTTGAGCCCTCCCTCCGGGCTTGCTGATATCAGGATATTATATTTTTATTAATATATTCCTGTTTGCAATGCTTCATACTTGTACAACAGGCCGTACCATGCCGAAAACAAGCAGGAAATGTTCTCACGTGCTCTGTGCATCAAGTTTACCTTGCAGATTTGTGCTTTTGCATATTTGATATTACAGCCCATTGATTGCAGACGATGCCCATTTGTAGATTCCCATTCATTACTTTAAACTCTCCTGAATTTTGCATAACAAAGTGTTCACTGGCAGAAAATAAAAGGCAGTTTATTTGCTGCATCATTTGATGATGCCACAGTTCCCTCAGCCATATAAACAACAGAAAAATCCATTTGCGGTTACCGAGCTGACTTTATTTTCTACTCGGAGGGTCTGAAATGCAGCACCTGATTGTATAATTATAGATCTTTTCAGGCCTGTTTAGCTAACAGGATGTCCGTTACGTTCTGCTATTCAAAAATTTATTTTGAGTTACAAATCCATTTTCTAGGCTGGCCACATTATAAAATCAAACTGCAGAGCTTACTTGTCTAATAGGGTCAATGAATGTAATTGCATTGAAACCTGTGAACTGTGAAATGAATGAGTCTACTCTGTTGTATTACACAAACAAAACAGAGGAACTTGTTTGTTATAGTAATAATTTCATTTTTTATGTAGCCAACATTTTTCTGTATTTGCTATACAATATTGAGGAGTGTTTTACCTGTTTTGGCATCCACTGAGAAGTACGGCTGGCCGTGAAGTATGCTGTACACCACCCTAGCACTGTTGCCGTATGTAGGGTCGTCTGCATCTGTCGCCGTCACCTTCATCACATATGTACCTGCAAACACATGATATTATTTGTTTGTGTTAAACTGCATGAATAGATATGGGAAATGTGCAAGACATGCTTTCTTCAAGGTTGTAACTGTAATAGCATGTAGGGTTTGACTGGGACTCGAAAACAGGCCCATGCAGGTACATCATTATATGCTTTGGTTATGATGGGCTGATAAAAAACAACAACTATATGGCTATGTACCGATTCTCCACTGTATTTTGATATGTCTGAAACAGCAGTTTTTACATTACAAAGGCAGCACTTTTAAATTACCCAATAAATGACAAATCATCTGTACTGTAGAAAGAGCTGATGGTCACGGGTCGCTGAATTACTGTGTTTTACTGAAATGCAGCACAATGCGCTCGACCACCATTTAGTAGGAATCGTGTGTTTTGTTTTTTAATATCTATCTATCTATCTATCTATCTATCTATCTATCTATCTATCTATCTATCTATCTATCTATCTATCTATCTATCTATCTATCTATCTATCTATCTATCTACCTGTCTATCTATCTATCTATCTATCTATCTATCTATCTATCTATCTATCTATCTATCTATCTATCTATCTATCGTTTGTTCTCTTTTCATCAAAATCTTCAACAGCATTCTGAAACTACATTTACTTCAATCACAAGCTCACTTTTATAAATATATATACATACATACATACATACATATATATATATATATATATATATATGGAGTTATTTTTATATTTTTCTAGTAGACGTCTAAAAGGATGCATGATGGGTCTGTTTACATTTATATGAACTGTACTACATGTGGTTAAAAACACTTGACAATCCACAGCATGGAACTATTGATGTTTTTCAAGACTACTGCAGTCCAGTTTGATTAAATGGTGTAACCACTGATCTATAATCTAAAGAAAATTACATAGATCAGTCTACACCACTTACCTCAGGGCTGGGCAACTTTGGTCCTGGAGGGCCACTGTACTGCAGATTTCAGTTCCAACCCTAATCAAACACCTGCCTGTTTTAGTGATCTTGAAGACACTGTTTGTTCAGGTGTGTTTGATTAGGATTGGAACTAATGCTGCATTCACGGCATGTCGTAATTACTGTGATTTTGAAATGACAACGCGTGACGTTCACGCTTTGGACTCGGAACTATTGCACTATCAATGTCTGAACATAGCATCGAATGAATCTGAGGTGGTAAGGTGGTAGTGGACAAGTTGTAGCTCTCAGAAAACTCCCAGTTCACAAGTTGTAATAACAAGTTCTACGAGGATGTTGAAATCTCACAATCACAGTAATTATGATATGGCATAAACGCACCTTAAACTCTGCAGGACAGTGGTCCTCCAGGACCGAAGTTGCCAAGACTTGATTTACATCATAGTCTCATGCTTTAGTTTAGAAATTCTAGTGCACTTCTGTTCTTCATCTAATAGCCAGTAGCCTTTTATTACTGGCTTAATCTGTCCCAGTGGTGAGGCCAGAAATATTAAAGCGAGTGGACCTCGGAGAAATAGGGTGGACCTCAGTGCCTATTTCAAAAATCATTTTACAAAACATGAAATAAAAATAGTGAAGCAAATTTTGACAGCTAAAAATGGCATCATCTACTAAAAGTATAGCCTGATGCTACTGTAATCTATTAACTACGCTTAAAGCCCATCTTTTTACTTAAGTACCAGATATGGGTACTTAAAATATTTTTAATATGACTAACTTTGTATTTAACGTGACTTCAATAAAAAAAACATTGCAAGTTACTAATCATAAAGCATTATTTTCCACAGTTAATCAAAACAGTGTATACATTATATGCAGAAAGCGAGCAAAGAATATCTACATTATCAAAGAGCATTATCACTGATTTAAGTCTATTGTGAGTTTAAGCACTCTCAAAAACTCCTGTTATAACCTCTGAAGCTGTCTACACTGTGAAATGTATCTCTTACACTAATCGGTAAAGTATTTGCATCACTGCAGCTGACGTTAGAAGTCCCAGTTGCTATACGAACAGTAAGAGTTCTGAGATGCACGCTTAGGATTGAGCATGTGCACTGGCTGATCTAGCCTGAATAATAAGCTCTTTTTATACTTTTTGAGCGAAAGAAACAACATTTATAAGACAGTTGTCAGATTTCATTGGTGATTTCAAATATGAAATTCAGTCGTAAGCTTGGTGAACAGTTTTGAATAATTTTATGTTTTCCGTTCAAAGATATAGTAGTGAACTTGCATGCCCGAGAGGTGCTTTAAAGATGGCCGCCGTGTGAAACGACTTGCCTTAAAGGGACTTTGGCATCATGCTGTTTTGCTAAAGCTATAGAACATCTGCATCGCGATGATGATGATGATGATGATGATGATGATGATGAGGATGATGAGGCAGTGTTTTCTAACGTCATTTAAATACATAGAAGCGCACAACTGGGAGATCAGCGCTCATCTACCAGGATCTTATTCCTTCTTAATTAGTTTTTACATGTGCTAGTAGTTTGTATGTTCATGTAAATGAGCGACTATTGTCAAGTATGCAGGCTTTTTCTTTCTTACAAAATCAATCAAATTGTCTCATTTGATTGGGTGGACCAGCCATCAATCTGAGTTGGCCAGTGCCACCCTGGCCCTTATGTAGCCTCTGGCCCTATATGATGGCTGTAGAAATATTAAAAAGCACATTTTCAGTAAACATTTTTTTAATCAAATTTGAAGAGAATGCAAACAAATTCAGTGTGAAATAATGTAGGGTTTTGGTTTTATTTAGGATATCAGGATTGTGGAAATGATTGGTTATTATTATTATTATTATTATTATTATTATTATTATTATCTGAATATTATATCTTGCCCCCGTAGCCTTGATTACATGAGTACAAAAGTCATTTCAGAGGTGGAGAAAGATTACTTTTATATGCAATATTATTTTGAACACAAAAAGAGAACATGCACTGCAGAACTGTGCACAACATGAACAGGGACAATTCATACATTGGGTAATTTGTGATTATTTGTCTTTTATGGAATCACTCAAACCACAAGTAGAGTGAATTATCACTGTCTGAGATGAGAAAAGAAACTCGAAGGCCATGGAGGAGAGACAGAGAGAGAGGGGAAAAACAAAAGGAACCGAGAAGTAATTGTACAGATTTTAAATGAAGACCATGTCCCAACGGAAGTCATTTTTAACAAGCTGATGCAATTAACTTTGATTTTTACCTTTTTTTCTTTTTTGAGTTCTCTCAGCACACAAGTAAGTTCCAGTCCTTTATGTGACCTCCAAATTAGACAGTCACATTCTGTTAACCCAATGAAAAATACATCCAAAGTCAAGAAATATGTACAAAGCCTCTTGTTGTGTAACAGCAAGGCTCATTTATGCTGAGATCATGAGTAGCTTTGATTCAGCTGGGAAGGGGAGGGTTTCATTTCATTTTATTGCCATTCAGATCAAGAAAAAGGCAATCTCAAAGTGAATTACCCTGATCTGTCATCCTCAGGCGAAGTAACATCAAAAAGGCTTTGGTGCTGGATAAGGCATGTAGTTGATTACGCTCGACGCCAAATTGTATGTCAGACTTTACCTCTTGCCATGCCAAAGCTTTTCCAGAGTATTTCTTTGTTTATTTGGATATATGCTTTACATTTCCATGACTTCCAAAACCTCTTTAAACTCGAAAGCTTTCATTTCAAAATGTTTTAATCTAAACATCTGCTTTCTGCTCAACAGGCTGTTTAATCAGTGATATTCTGTACAGTGTGTTGTAATGAGTGGGTTCTCACCTGCAATTTTCAGTTTTACAGTATTAGCTTTCATTAGATGCACTTATGCATCTAAACTTTCTATGCATTCTGCATTTCCAATTATTTTATCCTCATATATATTCAAGAGTGTGAAGATATCATGTGGATTATTCAGCAGTGATAGACTGCAGTAATAACTTATGCATTGTTTTAATTTAGATAGGTCTTTATTCTATAATTAAATATCTTGGGTTAGGGGACTTTCAAAACACCTTTTCTTTTCCCCCTAATGTATTACAAGTTGTTACAGAATATGATTGTATTGAGTTAGTGGAAGAGAGCACTGAATTTAACTTAAGCTTGCTAAATTAACTAAATGTTATAATTGCAAGTGTAGAATCAATGTTAGACATCAGAATACAGAACACAGATAAGAATAGCCTGTATGATGTTAAACTCTGTATAAGGGTCTGGAAGTATATAATTTAATTATTCTGACAGAAAACTTTAGTGTTTAGTCACTGACTTCACATTTCAGCACACTTAAAATATTTCTCTCTGTGTTTTTTTTATTTTTTTTTTATAATTAATTTATTTTTTGTAATTTGTAATGAACTGAATATTTATTTATGCATTCATTCATTCATTCATTTATTTACTGCAGTTATATGAATTTAGCTTTTAATTCTACATTCCAACCGACACCCTATTTGCGATTTGCATTCAATTATCTCATAAATTCCAATTCAGTTCAATCCAATTCCATCTGAATTAAGGTGAACTGCATTTGAATGCAGTTATTTTATAGGATATCAGTGCTGTACAGTGTCATTAATCATATGCATGTCTCTCATCTGAGGAAGCATCAATCAAAGATTGTGCCGAAGTTGTTGAGACAGTCTTTTGTTTTTCCCAATCTGCATAATATCTAGAGAGCACCATAAATCAGAAAGAGAGCTTAATAATCAGACTGCTTCATTGTGATATATCTGCACATTCAGAAATGAATAGAGGTACGAAAAGAAAAGGGAGATTTCCAAAAGAGCTGAAACTCGGCAATCGCTCGAGTAATAACTAGAAGTGGAAAAGTTAGGTGATACTAATTAAAAAATGAATTAGCATAACAATAGCAATCAATTACACAAAAGGGATTCGTGTGCCAACTGGGTCCTCGAGAAACCTCACACATATCCATGCAGAACGGGTAAAACAATCTCTCTCTCTCTCTCTCTCTCTCTCTCTCTCTCTCTCTCTCTCTCTCTCTC